TGTGTGTGTGTATATATATATATATATATATATTTGCAATTTGGGTCTGAAAAAATATCAATGTAAAAAAATCATTCGGTGGCTGTATCTTTTGTTGATACAGTAAAATAAAAATATGTAGCAGGTACTGGTTTTTGTGTTTTAGGTTGTTCTCAGTAAAAAGGACCGAATTTGACGTCTGTTTCCCAGAAACGGTGCATTGGTTTGATCCAGATGCCTCAAGAGCCCTGGTGGTTTGCTAGATTTGCTTCTCTAAACATGTCAAAAATAAATAAATAAATTTCAGACTACTATTCTTATGAAATAAATTTGAAATGATATCATTTAGAAAAAGCCAGGAAGAGAAAGAAATGTAGCTAGTCAGCTCATTTTTAAATTTTCAACTGGAAATTTGATATTTATGTTGTTGTTCTCGATTCTTTTCCAAACCAGCTTGATTGTGCAAGCCACAGATAAAGGGATGCCCAGGCTTTCGGGTACCAGTGTGGTCAAGATACAGGTGACTGATGTAAATGACAATGCCCCGGCTTTTCTCCCCCTTGAAGCAGTGGAAATTCCAGAAAGTGAGTGTGGCTATGTGGAAGAGTGGTTTTGATTAACTTGTATAATCTCATCTCCCATATTGTCAGCCAGGTCCTGTATTAAGTATGAATACTAATTCTAAACAACCATGCAACATAGTTTTCATCTTTATTTTAAAGAATAGAATACGGATGGTCAAAAGTTTATCAAATGTCAAAGAAGTTAAATGTTGAAGCTGGGATTTACATTCAGATAAGCATGAGGTTAGTCCCCATGCTCAGACCGCCATTGTACTTGGGTTCTTTTTGTGTGCACATATTTAAGAATGAAATTTGCTCTGTAAAGAAGCACATTTTGTTGATTAATAATCATCCTAAAACTCCTCTGAGAAGAAGCAATCTCAGACTGATAACTTTGTCACTCTTTGCAGTATATTAATAAGTAATAAGTGAAGGGGATTGGTGTTCATCATACAAAGTGATCGTTTTCCTCTCGTGTAAACATCTGCAGAAAAATTTTACACCATTAGTGGTAGAGGCTGCAAATACAAAATTTTATGTGCTATGCTGATTAATCTTAATTGGTTGGGCCTCTGGGATATATGATGACTCAATAGATTATGATCCCAAAGTTGCCTGTGATCAAAGGCTCTAGTGATAAAATGCAACCCAACTCTGTATAATTGAAGTCCCAAATAGTGTGGGCCCTCACTTGCCTCTCTCTCCTTGTACTATTAACACTAAATTTAGTCCTACAGTGTTCCTAACATTTTATGTCCCCTTTCCAAACAAATTATAACCATCACCGCTCACAGATGATAATATTCCAGAAATTTCTATATATAGGGATATCTCCAGATAGTCTAAATATCCTAAAATATTCTATCAATAAAAAAATTCTTCAGTTTTGTTTCCTGCCTATTTGATAGATTTTTGTGTGCTTTTACTGAAGGTACTATTCTAAAGTACAGGCATTAGCATAAAAATGCAGCAGGGTGCCCAATATAAACACAGGGTATCCCAAAAAAATGTATACACACTCTAACAGCTGATAGCTCAATTTTGAAAATGAAATGTATTTTAATAAGCACTGCCATTATAATTACTCAAAGTGTGTGTATATATTTGGGAGGGACACCCTGTATATCACAAGAACAAACAACATAAACCAAAACATCCTGCACAGGTTAAGATGTGGTTGGTGAACATCAAGAATGTTCATGCTTGACTATGAAAACCAGGAGTCTTGTATGCAGTGGAATTATTCTGAATACCTTGGCATCTTCTTTCTACCTGTACCATCCATGTAAGCTAAAAAGCAAAATCCCTTTCACAGCAGTTTAGGCTAGGATAAATACAGTGTGAGGCATTGAGCATGTCATCTCTTTTGTGATTATTTTTTGTGTGTAAGTAATACTAAAGATTTGTTTTCATAACTAGTACTATGTATACTTTGGCTTTCTATAGTATTGATCTTTTTTCTCTCTTTTTATTTATTTATTTTTTAAAATTTTTTATTGATTAAGTTATTACACATGTGTCCTTATCCCCACATTACCTCCCATCCCCCCCCACCCTCATGCCCTCAACCCCCTGTTGTCTGTGTCCATTGGTTAGGCCTCTGTGCTTGCATACAAGTCCTTTGGTTGATCTCTCCCCCTTATCCTCCCCTACCTTCCCTCTGAGGTTTGAGACTCATATTTTAAGGGAAGGAAGCAATGTATGTGTCACTCCAAAAGAAATGTTTGCAAGGTAAGTGCCGAAGAACTAAATATCTATTCCTAACTTTGGTATCCAAACATTTTTATTTCAATCTTGCCTACTTTTCAAAATGTTGTTTTTTATTAGTGTTTTTAGTAATAATCTTCTTCCCACCCATACCCCCATGAATATATGATTTTGTTACAGAGTCTATATAGCACAAATAAGTGGCTTGGAATGTTTCTTGGTCCTGGGAGTATGTTGTTAAGCATACAAGGAAAAATGTAATATAAAAATTGACTCTACCCTACATCCTCAATTCTCAATTCAGTGGTAAAATTTCACTTTTATTGGGCTTATAAATTCTTCAAAGTTTTTGTTTAGTTTATAATGAGCCTTGTATGAGAAATCATGCCAAGAAAAAGCAAATCGTGTTGGACTTGAAATAAATATAAAAAAAGCTTGGATTGAACTATTCAAGGGATATTTCAAAGGATGAATTTTAATGGAGACTGACACTGGTCATGACTATTTCAGATGCTTTGCCTGGTGTAATTGTGACTCGAATATCAGTCCATGATGTGGATTTGAATCCAGCTTTCATCTTCAGTTTCGCCAAACAGAGTAATCCTGGAACAAAGTTTGCTATTGATCAGCACACTGGGGTGGTGGTGCTAGTGAAAACATTGAATTTTGAAGAAGCTACTGAATATGAGCTGCTTATCCAAATTTCTGATTCGGTGCACCACACGGAGGGAGCACTCATTGTCCGTGTGTTGGACGTCAATGATAACCCACCAGTGTTTTCTCAAGATTCTTACCAGGTAAATAGCTTGCAGAGATGCTGAAACAGCCCAAGCTGGAAAGAATAGGAAACAATGTAAGCCTACCATTGTGGACAGACTAATTTAGACAGGCAGCAGTCCCTGTTTTTAGAGCTTAAGTTGATGCTGAGGGTTTTTTATTTAATATCATGGAGGATAGAAGTATATATGAAATTGCATATATCATTCCACCCAGTTTCTTAAGTATGTATAATATGTCATCATATGAAACTATGTTATCATTTTTCTAGTTTTTAGGCATCGGGGTCCTGTTGTTCATAACAATTGAAACTTGCCAAATGTTTTCAAGGCCACAAATAAGACAATAATGTGGCCTATTGTAGCCTAAGGGAGATTATCTACAGTTAATTTGGAAACCTTTTTCTTTCCTAGGCATAGTTTTAGAATATTTTGGGGTATTGATTAACATTTTGCAGAAAAAAATTATGAACAAAACTGTAAAGTGGAAATTTTAGTCTTTAGGGCATAGTGTATGTTTATAGAAATGAGAACAATGATAGCATTCAACTAAGTACTTGGAAATGGGCTTTAGGACTCTTGAATGTGACACATGCTAGGTTTCTGTGTAAACCCAGGAGAGAAACTAACCTAAGTAATGATCTCCTGTAAAGGCTAGTTAAATCAGATAATGTATATAAGTAATAATATATTACTGAAAGTATTAACTATCCTCTACCACACAGAAATAATTTAGAAGGAAATTTTTTCATAATGAAAATAGAAACTGAATTAATCTTTAAAAAATTTTTTTTTCTGAATTCTGGGACCACAACATAATCGTCTTAATATGTCAACTCTGTAAATAAACATAGCTAATAAAGTCAGGTTCACTGTGAATTTTCCACAAGCAAAATAAATAAAATGATCTCACATTTTGGCCTGTGCATTAGAATCTGTAGTCTTGTAGCACAACATCCATTTCTCTGTTTTTGTTCCTCAGGTCACCATTCCAGAATCGGTGCCTGCGGGGTACTCTGTGCTGACTGTGGCAGCCACAGACTCAGAGAGCAATGAGCACATTTCTTACAGAATTATTTCCTCTTCCACAGAATTCTCCATTGATCCTAGGAATGGTGAGTTATTTATAGTGGCTTTAGTGTTCAGAGTCTGAGTTACAGGCTGGAAACGTGAAATAATCCTTTCCAAATGCTCCTAAAATAGCTCCCCATCCCACCCCCTAGTATTATAAACACCACCATCTTATTTCTCTGCATGTCAAATGCCGGGATAGCAAATACCAGTGTTATTTCTCTTCCCCAGCATCTCAGTGGCTGGCAAGCAAAAGGAATTGATTAAATGCTGGCGATGGCTCAGAGATTCAGAGACCCCCATAGAGTAAACACCCAGTCCGTCAGTCCAACCAAGCACAGTTCAAGTAGTTATCCCAGGCTTCGAAAGAGTACTGAGGACTTTGTGTTACTAGAGTTTGAAAGCTTTCATTGAAGCCCAGGTACAGAGAGTTCAGTACTAACACTCAATAAGGACCAAAGAAAACGGGGCAACATTATTTGAGCGTCTCTACTGAGTAAAAACATTGTGGTGTTCTGGTTTATTTGATGCCTTCCAAGGCTGTTTGTGTTTTTATAGAGCAAGACATTTGTGGCTGTGAAATGCATTTAAGCAAGTGATTTCAGACTAGAGCAGTTAAGCATTGTACAGAGAAAGTTTAACAGTGAGTAGACATTATAGCTACACTTGATAAAGATGAATAAATAGCAATGGGACAACTTACTACACAAAAAGAAAACTAGGACAAGTGTATGGCAAAGTTATCTGCAAGCAGCACACATATTAAGTAGAGTGAATGTCACGAATATTATTTCTGACTCTTAAGTGTTACAAAAGTATAAATATAACTTAATTTTCTATTTGGAGTTACTCTTGGTTGTAAATTAAGTAACAAATAAGCAAACGCATTAGTAAATATTTGATACACATTTGCTAACAAAATGGATCATGAAAATTTAATTTCACAGCACTGAAATGCCACATCTTATTTTTCAGGCACGATATTTACGACCAACCCCATAGTACTTCTGGATGAAAAATCAACAGTTCAGTTTCTTGTTGAAGCCAGTGATGGTGGAATTCCTGACCTGAGGGCTCTTACCTTAGTGGAGGTAGAAATACAAGATATGAACAACCATCCCCCTGCGTTTGCAGTAGAATATTACAATCTTAGCCTGAGTGAAGATGCTCAAATTGGAGGCACGCTTGTCACCTTCTCAACCACTGACCATGACTGGGCCCCTGAAAACACACATGTTGAATATTCCATCATCAGTGGTAATTCGCAGAACAATTTTGATGTGGAAACTGGTTTCCTTCATTCAGAATATCCTTCTAAGCAGGTTGGTTATTTGGTGTTGCTTCACAATCTGGACAGAGAAGCATCTGCCAGTCACAAGCTTGTCATTCTGGCATCTGACCACGGCTGCCCTCCACTGACTTCCACCGCCACGGTGTCCATAGAAGTGCTTGATGTCAATGATAATCCACCTACATTCCACAGTCTGACGTATCACGCGCATGTCAAGGAAAGTACCCCTCTGGGGAGTCACATCACCGTGGTGTCAGCCAGTGACCGCGATGTGGGTTTACATGCAGAAATCATCTACCACATCATCTCTGGGAACGAGAAGGGGCATTTTTACTTAGAAGAGAGAACTGGGGTCCTTTATTTGACTAAGCCTTTGGATTATGAAGAAACGATAAAATTCACGTTAACCATCCAAGCTTCAGATGAAGAAAAGAAACATTTTTCTTTTGCAGTTGTGCTTGTCAGTATCCTAGATGATAATGATCATGAACCCCTGTTTCTGTTTCCAAGACTGAACTGTGTTGTTCCTGAAAATCTGCCTGTGTTCTCCACCATATGTTCTGTAAATGCTTTGGATTTTGACGCAGGTCCTTATGGAGAATTGACCTATTCTATTGTATCCCCCTGTCCTGCCACTCGTGGAGCACCTCCTGACCATGATCCCTTCCTCATTGACCCTCTGACGGGGGATATTTATGCTAAGCAAGTCCTTGACTATGAAAATGACAATAGATACTGCCTCACGGTTCAGGCAAAAGACAAAGGTGACTCCACAGCCTCCTTAATGGTTTGGGTCGAGATTGAGGGGATAGATGAGTTTGAACCCATTTTCACTCAAGATCAATATTTTTTCAACCTCCCAGAAAACTATAACATAAGACAATTGATTGGCAGAGTGGAAGCATCAGATGCAGACGCTGGTACTGATGGCGTTATTCTTTACTCCCTTGAAAGTCCATCTCCTTTCTTTTCAGTAAATAAAACGAATGGAAATATTTATTTGACGAGAGCCCTTCCCCTCATAAGAAGTCAAGTCAGCAAAGAAGACATGATTGAAATAAAAATAATCGCTCATAGCCCTAAGCAGGACTCTAAGGTCGCTTCTTGCACTATTTTCGTGAACGTGTCTTTTGCCTCGGAAGGAAAACACTCGGCAGTGTCAGCTAGCCGCTTCTCCATCAGCCTCGCCGTCTCCTCTTTAGCGTTTCTGTTACTCATCATCCTTCTGACTATCCTGATTGTAAGACATAAACAAAAAGATGCAGGCAACGGTTACGAAGACAAGAAAACGTCATCAGCCTTAGATATCAGTTTGAGACTGACCAGGGATGCCAGCATGCCCAAACCCTTCCAGACCTCGGATGCCTGCAGTGAGGAGGCGGTGCCCGCGGACTCCACGCCGGAATGGGTGAGTTTAATAAGCACCATGGGAAAGGACGTGGGCCATCTGTACCGGCACCCCCACTCCAGTGGCCGCTGCTCTGTGGACGGAGAAACGGCAGAAGATAAGGAGATCCAGAGGATCAATGAGCACCCTTACAGGAAGGACTCTGCCTCAGCTCTGAGTGACCGGGAGTCCAGGGTGCCCGACTCCGGAATCCCAAGGGACTCAGACCAGCTCTCCTGCGTGTCTGGGGAAACTGACGTGGCGGTCTCTGTGGTAACAGCAGAAACCAGCCATGCACTCGAGGAAGGAGATGGAAGAGAAGGCTGTGGCACAGCCTACATTCAAAATGATACGCTGCCCCAGACACTAAGGAAGAGCCAGGTCCAAGCGGACATCCCGGCCGAGGTCAGGAAAGAGCCGGTCTTTATTTCAGGCGATGCGGAAGCAAGATGCGCAACACAGAGAACCTCTGATCGCGACGGGAGAGGCAGCTATCCCTGGAATTATCTCCTCAGTTGGGAACCCAAGTTCCAACCTCTGGCCTCGGTATTTAATGATATTGCAAAACTGAAGGACGAACATTCCCATGAACCTGCGACTCCCAAAGAGAAGAAGTCCTTTGTTTTCCCACCCCCTTTGATCACAGCAGTAGCCCAACCCGGGATTAAAGCAGTTCCACCGAGAATGCCAGCCATGACCCCAGGGCCGGGCCTTCACAAATACCCACACTCCCCGCTTCTCTACCAGCTCAGTTCCCGGCCTGAAGCCATGACTCCCAGTTTTTCTCCATCCCTTTCCCTGCTGACAGCCCAGACCCCTGCCATGACTCCACTGCTGTCGCATGGAGATTTCTTAGGAGCACATCTAAGCGATGCGTGCCATGAACTTAAAGCAGAAGACGAAGTTCAGATATAAACCAATTGTGATGCCGATTGCACTGCTCACCGTCGGTCAGGAATGGTTGAACAGAACATTCTTAAGCAAGCTTCTCCAGGCCAGGTTCATTTTATCCACACGGGAGTGATATCATTTTGTCAGGGTTTTTAGAACCTCCGCATTTAAGTTTCTCAAATTTCCTCTCCCAGCCTTAAAGAGAAGTTACCTCCTCCTTTAACCTTTAATGTTTTGCTCTCAGGACTCCTTTGTATATATTAAGTAGTATATATTCGTCATACCTGGTTTTCTGTATGATTAGATTTCCAGAGGACACAGTGAACTTGACTGACTACCAACGTGTTTATATAAAAACAAATGGAAATAAAGTTCAGGTATAGTCACTCAGTCACATTGCTGCTGATTACCTAGTAATTTGGGAGGATAAACTTAAGTTTTAAAGTGAAGCCATTTTCTGTGTACCTGACATGTTTAGAGTTGCATTTCTCCACTTTCACCATCAGCCACACTGGTGGAGTTAGCCATAATTTGAATTTTAATGTGGTGTCTTTTGGAAATTTAATTAAGTATGAAATTTGTCATAACTCTGTGCCAAATAAGAAAGTTATTCTTTTTTAAATGAACCAGGAATGTGTGTTCTTGACGGAGGGCCAGGGTTGATAAAAGCAATAAGCTTGTGTTTGGCTGTCCCTGAGACACATTTAATTGACCTTTACAAATAGAATGATGATTTTTTTTAGCGTCTGTCTTGTAACATTGTAGGGATACCGACATTAACATTTGAAGATTAATTCATAGATATTTTAAACTTTTATTTTATTCTAGATATAGTAACTTTTGGTAAGAAATAATTTATCCACTCAATGTCAGTTTTAAAAGTTTGTGTAGATAAATTTATGTTATTAGCAAATAATAATTTTATGGAGTAATTTAGCAATATATTTTTCAATGAAGTTTTTTACATAAATATTTCTACTATAAAAGTTAGGGTAGATATTAGAAGTCTTTCTTCTATTAGTTCATGTTTAGCTTTAACTGACATTAGATGGAGCAGTTGGACAACACAGTTAAAATAATTCTGATTTGTACGGCTGTTTCAGAAATATAGTGGTTTGTGGGGGCTCACATATATGCTATCCCTCCTCTCTGGTGAGCCTGAAGATCCATCCAAAGTTCTTCTCTGTTCCAGGAAAGCAGAGCACTTCCTCATGTGAGGGCCCTGAAGTCATCCATGGTAGGCGACCTGGGCAATCTTTGGAATGAGTTTAGATTCTCATGGGCATCTGGTGTGGTTTTCTTGGTGGTTAGTGTGAATGTCTGCTATAGAAATATTTCCTCTTTTATTTTTTGATAGACCTCATCTGTAAAATGTGAGATAACTCATTTCTCTTAACTGGAAAACATTGCAAGAGGCTATGTTTGATATCCAGTTCTGTAAGTAAATAATTCTAAGGCTTTCTATGCTGATTCGATCAATTACATATCTCTGCTGACTCTTACATTGAGAACAAGTATGTAAAACCACATTAGAAATTGTACGAAACATGAAGGTTTTTGGTCAAGCCTAGAATCCTAGAGAATGTCATTTAGGCATGAGATATGTAAATATTAAAGGACAATTCCTTCCTTCTTCCCTCCCTCCCTTCCTTCCTTCCTTCCCAGGGAAGATGTCTTCATGATTTTTCTAAAAAAATTAATTCTTTCAGTGTTCCAATATTTATTCTCTTTTTGACCTCCTTCAAAAGATTACTTTGAGCCTAACAAAGAAATTTATACTGACTTTTTAAAAAATATACATGGAAGTTGTGTTTTGCAACAGAATTATTTCTAAGAATGAAGAACATATTGTTGTTTTTAATTAAACAGGTTCTTTCTTTACTTATGCTTAAAAAGAGATATTCGTCTAACTCTTCCTTAAGTTATTTGCCTGTGACTTATTACTCCTTCTGGACAAGATTCTGCATTTTTTAGACATTTAATAAAAACAGAAGACACAAAGTATTTAGAGCCATTCCTTACCAATATCTAGTGGATTTTTAATTCATGACTTTATTAATACTGTAACCAACACCACGCCACCACCAAACAAATGCTGCAAGTGGGGTTAAGAGCAAAAATGTAAACATGCTGGTTAAGTGTTCGCAATAAATCATATGTAAGCCCTTTTCAACTAGAGTGCTTTTTTCCCTAAATAAACATTATAATTTGTATAGTTTTCCTTCAAGTTTAATATTAACTTGCCTCATATGTTCTGTGTTACTTTGCTGATCTACGCACTGGCTTTAGCACTCTGGAGGGGGGACAGAACTTGTTAGTGGAAAATCATATTAAGTCCCAAATTCATAAGCTATAAAATAAAAGACAGTTGTCTGTTGTGGAATTTTGGCTGCCTGAAATTCTGGACTTTCTTGTTGGCAACCTTAAAAATACTGCTGTAAATCAATACCAAATGGATATCAAAATTCCATGTCCCAGTAGTAATCATTGAGTTGGCTTCCAAAACAGATTCCTGGGCAAAAAAAAAAAGGGGGCGGGAGGGGGAGAGGGGGGAATGCTATATCTTTAAGGATTGGATCACTTAACTGTTCTCTGAAAATATTAAAATGTGCTATAAACTGCTGGCTGCCTACATGTATACATACTTAGTCTAGAATAAATGTCCAGTTGAGACAGGAGTTGAATTTCTCAGCATGTTTACCAGAAGTTTCAGTGACCCCTTTGCTGTGCTTTCTAGAATTTATCATGATGAAAGTTAATTACTAATTTTAAACTTATGTACATCCAAACATATCTTTTGTTACATTTGTTTTGTTTTGCCACTTTAGACATTTTTAAACTTTAACTACAAAGAAAAAGCAAGACATAACTAAAAGGATCTAAAACAATCACTCACTTCAAAGCAATGAAGTATATGGAGTGAATATGGTTAGTGGATTTGCACAGGATTATTACAGATAAGCTCTTTGGATTTACGCTCACAACATGCTTTAGTTGAGCCTAAAAGTATAGAGCCATCTGTTTGGCTGTAGCTGAGGAGAGATAATATGGAAAATCATTCTGTTCACAGGGAACACCTCCATCAGTGAAGTTGTAGAAACCTTGCTTATGACCAAAACCAGCATTCCCGTGTGAGTCACTGAATGAAGGTAGCTTTCCCCCATTATAGAGATGGAGGTAGAGAAGCAGGGAAGAGAAAATAGAGGATTAAATCTGAATAGTTTAGGGCACTGGTAGAGAGCAAGAAGAGAAAAAATAATTTTTAAATGTAAAGATTTTGCTGAGTCATTTCCCTATTATAGGTCTATCCTGTCAAGGAATCTTTTTCTTTTTCTTTTTTTTTTTTTAGGAATATTTTCCCCTCCTCCTTCCTTTCTGTTTCTTTCAAGTCTCTATTTCCATTGCTCCATTGTCTGAAAATTTAAGTATATCAAGTTGTGGACCTAAAGCTAGGCAACATGCACTAAAGTAACTTGACTGTAAAACTTAAATTTCTTTTTGGCGAATTACAGGATAGAAAATTTGGAATGATTACCCTGCCTTACTTCCCACTCTACATAACTTGGGCATTGAGAGTGCCACAATATTAAGTAGGTGAATTTACACAGATACCAAGAAATGAAAGTTCAGAAGGCAGTTGGGACAGAATATGAAATTTTAGTACCTGGTCCTTTTTTTCTAGTAGCTCATCTTTTTTCTTTTCTTTTTAAAAATATGTTTTTAAAAATTGATTTTAGAGAGAGAAAGGAAGGGAGAGGCAGAGAGAAAGAGTAAAACATCCGTGTGAGAGCATAGCATCAATCTTGGCTGCCTCCTCCACGACCCCTGCTGGGGATCGAGCCTGCAGCTTGGGCATATGTCCTGACCAGGAATCAAACCAGTGACCTTTCCACTCATGGGATGACTCTCAACCAACTGAGCCAGTCGGCCAGGCTGGTGGCTCCTTTTTAAAAATGAGTGCTTGCTTGATAGTCACGATTTTATATTAAAATAGTACATTTTATATAACCACAGTATTTAACACACAAACATAGTTGATAGTTCTCAAATATTGTCAATTTTATTTGAATTCTGGTGTCATAAATTATTTTGATTCCATATAGTTCAAAGAAATTTATCCATTAGAAAGAAAATTGCCCAGCCAGTGTAGCTCAGTAGTTGAGCATCAACCCATGAACCAAGAGATCATGGTTCAATTCCCATCAGGGCACATGCCTGGGTTGCAGGCTCAATCCAAAATAGAGAGCAAGCAGAAGACAGTCAATCAGTGATTCTCTTTCATCATTGATGTTTCTATCTCTCTACCTCTCTTCTCTCTTCCTCTCTCTGAAATCAATAAAAACATCTTTTTTTAAAAATTATGGCAATCTTACAAAAATCCAGCAAAAAGTGGCTGGAGTATCAAACTATACCTTCCTCTTATAAACTCGGCACTTGGTTATTTGATGACAATTTAGCACTTCTTACTGTTTGGGTCCAGATAATTTTCCTCATTTCACTCAATATATTTGCTAAACCAAAACTGTGAAGTGAGTAACAGAGAGCCAGAAAGCATGCCAAATAAATAGCAGATGCACAAGTGCATCTCTTGAATGAGAAAGCATCATTTTGGTTACAAAACTAAATACATGGATTTCGTTGTTAGATAGTAAACCCTCAGGGCAAAATCCTGGTCTCAACTTGCATTATGAAATGCAGATGTTTCTTAGAATGAATGAGCACATATGTGAATGGGCACAGAGGGTGCTATAAAGTGAGAGTGTGATACACAGGCCTTGAACCCATTAAGTGTGAATTCTAACATAGTTCTGTGATTTTAGCCAATCACAGGGCAGAGGGAAAGTACAAAGATCCTATCAAAATACTTAGGACTATCTTAGACAAAATCAAATGACTAGAAATTCTTTCTGTAATCTGGTTTGTCTTCTCTTTATCCTTTCTTTATACATACATTCCTTATGAGTTTTAGACACAATAGAAACAAGTTATGGGTGACATTCAAAAGTACATTGTTTGAGAAAGCCATACTATATGACCAAGCACACTGGTTTAATTTAATTTCAGATTCTGTAATAAATTTTGACTGCCCCATAGCAGAATGAACTTCTATCAATAAAAGAAGAGTATGTAATTTAGCAGATAGGTCTAGAATATTTACATCAAATGCATTAAAATTTTTAAAAAATAATGAGGAATTTATGAAGGATATTATATATGTTTACATACTAGTATGTGTTAAAATGATATTCTAAATAAGTTCAGACTATTTAATAAATGTGTACTGGGAGATTGGGGAAGGAGGTAAATATGAAGTTATTTCTCATAAACAAAAACGTATTCTACTTGGATTAATGAGTAAAAGTTAAAGCAAAATCATAAGAACTGGAAGCATAGAATAAAGGTATAAAACACCTCTTTAAAATATGAAATCAAAGGTAGAGGGATAAAGTTGAACTGTGACAATAATAAGTACTATAACAAGTTATAAGAAATTATAATTAGGAAATGCTTCATACAGCTAATCAACAAATATTTACTTAGTACCTATTGTGGACAAGGCATGGATCTGGCTCTGGGAATATAAGTGAATAGAGTATATAAATCCAGTGTATTTACAGTGCTTATATTTTATGGTGGGAGATAATAAGAATGTGCTCTCAAATAATGATAAGTGTTGTCATAGGAAGAAAACTAAAGTATATAAAGAAAAAAAAGAAATTGATAAGGGGTGGGGCAGTATAGCAATCCTGCTTG